ATTTTCTTCATCAGATTTAGATGAAGAAGATTTAATTAAGGCCAAGTTTAATAAAACTAAACTTCCAATAATAAAAGATTACATTGAATTGATGGGGTCGCACCTGGATGACTCCCAGGTAGGTACCATAAATATTCTTGCAATTCCTGTATATGCATAGTATACGTTGACATCTTAAGAACTTAAACATAAGTAGGTGTATGTTAATCTGTTGATAAAATATGAAATGAAAGCTTGTCTTGGATCTTGTTTGGAATTTGGAAGGTACTACTTCTACTTATCACTCAGATGATAGCTATCAAATACAATACTTTGACAATACAATGCACTGGGTGGTCAACTGCGTGTTCGGTTGGAATAAGTTAGTATGACGTCACTAAATTGAACCAGTGCTGAGCAACGAAAACTCGCACTTCACGAGTGTGAACTGAGTGTGGCCAGTCGAAAACGCTATTTTACTATACGGAGAATGGTCGCACTGCGCAGCTTTCTAAGTGCCTTTTAAAAGGAGATAGAAAAATCTGTCATTTTGAACCCTTATTACGTGGTGCCTACATCTTGGCGCAATATTTTTAATAGGTGCGTTTTAATCATCCGCTTCTGCTTCGGAATTGTCGGTTTTCTTGTTTTAATCTGACAGGTTAGAACGACTGAACCGACAATTCCGGAAGCAGCAGTGGATGATTAAAACGCACCTGATATTTTGCTTGCTGCTGTCAGTGTCAGTGAATATTATTTTTGGAGTCACAGATTATTGCTAAGAATTCAGTTAGCTCACTCGGACCAGTAGAAAGTTCCAAAATAACATCCACTCCAGGGATACAAATTCAGGATACGCAGAAGACTGCTGTTTTATTATAGGCGGTTGTCATATATTGTATTATCTGAGTTGCACAGTGTATAAACTGGAACATTGAGATAAAAAGTGCCGACGCAGAGTGAGCGATCTGATTCTTTAGCTATAAACTGTGTCATAGGGTTCAAAATGGCCGCGCCCTATGTTGGACGTGTCGGACCCAATGACATATATAGTTTAAATAGACTGCTTATCCATACGTAAATAAAACGATGAAAAGTGGGTCGAACTGGGAGATGTTTTCTCTTTGTCTAGTGCATGCAATGTTTGTGTTTTGTCTCAATTTTGAGTGCTCACTGGTAAACAAACCTTTCACAGGACCGGTTTTAAATAAAGTTTAGTCTAGTTGAGATTTTGTTCTCATTGTCATTACTCAGTCGGACATTTTGTTGAATTGTTTATTTTATTTAGTTTTAATTATACTTATGTTCTGTTTTAAGTTTTTTAATTATTTGAGTATAAAAACTTGTTTTGTTTTTAAATTTAAATGGTGAATTGCTCTATAAAGGTTTGTAAGACCAGCTACAGAAATATAAAAAGTAACATTTCATTTTTCACGCAAGTATCAATACAAGTAGGTACAAGGTAAATACGTTTATAATAATTTTACGAATTATAATTAATTATAATAATAATATTAATAATAATAATAATATTAATAATAATAAAGTATTTATTGTAAATACAATTACATAAATATTATTATATTCAAAGGCTCGAGTTAGAGCTATCTGGGCTTTACAAGTACATTTTAAAAGTTAGTTAGATACACAAAAGTATCATATAATAAAAACTCAAAATAAATAGAAGAAAAACGGACATAAGTACCAATACAGAGAGACAAACACTTTTATTCTTTGATAGGTTCTTTCTATGTGAATTCTAGCTCTGGCAATTTTGACATTAAGTAAAGCCTCTTGATGGCTGAACTGATTTTTTTTATTGAGGAAAGGAGGCTGTATAATTTGTATACCTTCAGCTTTTGTTATGTTTCCAATAAGAAACCCTTTGTTAAACATTTTACTATCGAGAAATGATTCACACACTTCAAGTATTGAACTTTGTTAAAAAATGTCTATTTCTGAAGTTTACCACCATATGCTTCACTTTTGTAAGTAATGAGACCAGTAGGTGACACTCCCTGTCAATATTTTAATAGTATGCCTCTTTTTGTAGTTAGAGTAATTTTTTAGCCTACAACAAAGACATTTGGCTTGCTGTATTGGGATTTCGGTACAATCAAGTAGTAGTACTCTTACTTACATAGAGGCACATTATTTAATATTTCTTGTTTTGAAGGCCGAATTATACCATACTAAGAACTTTTACCAGTTTTATTAAAAACTGTTAAAAAATTTAACGATAAAAAGTTTCATTCACTCGAAATAAAATGAATAAGACATTATATCTTGCATATCAGTTTTCAACTTCATAAAAGTAAATATAACTTGATCCTTTACAGACATAACTGATCTCCTTTTTCCTATTCTTTAGAAACAACTCTGCTACTAATTTCACAATGGTGGCTAATAACTGGAAGGATTGCAATCCTATTAAAGTAGATAGTTCTTTAGCACTAACAATTCTGTTTGAAAACGGATCAACTAAATCGCCACTCTTCACTTGTGTTGAACAATCGATCCCAATTTTCTGTTTTTAAACAAAATTTTGTAAATTAAGCAAAGCTATTGAGCAGCACACAAATCTTCATTATCTGCTTCAGTAGTAGATATATGTTCATTAACTGCAAAAACACATTAAACATAATAATAATAATAATTAACCAAACATTTTAAATTATGCATACGTACATCCATTGCCTGAAGAAGATAACTAAACACTTAACATTCTACTAGTACTGGCAACATATCATTATTAAAGACAGTAGCCATAATTCTTGTTTTAGCTGGATTACTTTTCTTTTTATTAATAGTCGCTTTCTTTTTACCACTAATCTGAGCTAACTTACATCGACTAAGCTTAGTTGTACGTTCTTTTTGTGATTGTAAGTCAGAATCTTTATTTCCCTCTTACCGATGCTAAGGTACACGGATCTTGACGTCAACTAAGATTAAACTTTGTACCTAGTGCATTTTACTATGATGTTGATCAGATTTCCACTGGTGGAATTTTATTATTATTCATCAAATCATTCACATTCACCGCCAAAATAATCCTTAATTGTCTAAAGGGACAAACTTTAGAATGTGAAAAAGCTACTAACTTTAAATCTTTAAAAAGTTCATTCAATTTTTGCATAATATCTGCTTTTATAATGCGAAATAAATTTTAAAAGAATAATGAAGTGTCCGAATAGTGCCACTATACAGTAGTCGTGGTCTAAAGTTAGTTATATACACATGAGTGTAAAATTGTTTATATCTATGTTCAAAATTGGTTAGATCTCTTAAAATGTTTTGGAAATTGGGAAACTAGACGTTACGACTCAAAATCCTTTTTTAAAATACCTAACGCAAGCTCCTGTGTTGAAATAAACATACAGATATTTTTTTTTTTAATTCAATTCCTACTTTGATGAAATATGTGTTTTAAACTCATTTGGGCCAGACCGATTCTGCCTGGTGAGCACTCGGCAAGACAAGCAATATGACCCGCTTTTCGTCGTCTTGTTTATATATGGATGAGCAGTCTATTAATCTATATATGTCATTGGTCGGACCTCTCTCTTGCCCCGTATAGTAATCAAATCAAAGTATGTGGCTAAACTACAACGCTCATAGAGCTGTAAAAATTCTAGATGGTGTAGCTGGTACTAAAGTTTAATGTTTATATACAACCACTGACCTACTGAACGCTGGACCGACTTAAAAAAATATTTGATTCACAGAACCATATATGGCTCCGTGTGATAGAGGGTTAAGAGTTTTTTTTCTGCTTGTCCTCAAAATAGATTAATACGATTATTTTCCTTGAATTTTATATTATTAATGTTAATATGCATTTTATAGTATATAAACAATTATTATTTTACTTGACTTTTTAAAATAATTTATAATTTCAAAGTAATTTTGAAAATTTAAAAATAATTTTTCATAGAGAAAAATAAACAATGAGCTAGGTATTACGGTTTGATAGTTATGAACTTTTCTGATCTGGTTAAAACGGGTAATTAGAGTGCAGAAAAATGAGTTATTCGTAGGCCAAGGTTGTAGATTTTGGTTCTTATCTTTAAATGCGAATCCAATTGTTTTTCTAAATTTCGTGAGGATGAAGCTCCATAATTTCGTGAAATTTCCTGAAAATACCGTAATTAAGAGTTAAGAAAAAATATAACAATTAAACTGAAAAATTAAGGTGCCATTTTGTATAGTTTAAAAATAATAGCGGTTTTTACATGTATAATTTTAATTTATTTTACCTGCTTTTTTGTGATGTATTGTCCCGCTTTAAATACTCTATCATTCCAGGATAACTTTGGTCTTGTAAACGACAGCTACTTCCAATATTTATTTGCTTGTTAACTTTCCTAATTATTTGTAGGTACCTTATATGACATTGATTTTTTTGTACAATCTCATTTCAACGTATTTTGTTGTTTTTTAACCGACTTCAAAAAAGGAGGAGGTTATCAATTCGTCGCGATATTTTTTTTTTTTTTTTATATATATGTTCAGTGATTATTCTTTAACACGGTGTCCGATTTCAATGATTCTTTTTTTGTTAGAAAGGGGGTACTTCAGGGGTGGTCCCATATAAATTTAGTCAAAATCTAATAATTGGGTCCATGAGAAAATCCTCAAACTCTTCATTTTTGATGTATGTTTAGCGATAATGCTTTACCACCTTGTCCGATTTATATGATTCTTTTTTTGTTAGAAAGGGGCTACTTCAGGGGTGGTCCCATATAAATTTGGTCAAAATCTAAAAATTGGGTCCATGAGAAAATCCTCAAACTCTTCATTTTTTATGTATGTTTAGCGATATGTTTTTTGTTAGTAAGGGGGTACCTCAGGGGTGATCCCATATAAATTTGGTTAAGATGTGGTGATGGCATCTGCACGTTTTTGAAGTCGGTTTTTTTAAATTTTTAATTTACACTTGTTTATTCGTTAGGATGTTTTCAGTTCAATTATTTCTCCGTTTCTTTGTATCAAATTTTAAAAAATACCGCTATCGTATTTAGGTGGTTGGAGTTGCCAGAAGAAAGGAAAGAATTGACGAGTTAGCCAAAACTTTGGAAGGCAAGAAAGGTAAACTATTTGCGTTCAAAGCAGATATTTCCATAGGCGAAGAAATAAAAGCAGCATTCGCTTGGACAACCGATAATGTAGGACCTGTTGCAATTTTGGTAAATAACGCTGGAATCCATTACAGAACCACAATAATTGGTAAGTTTAAAATTTAACAGTCAGTTAATTAAAATTTGTGGGCTATAGCCCTCAGAAAGTCTAGATACCGCTTGGCGTATACTGTCAATACAAAAAAATGACCCCATTCAAGCTTGTCGCCATGTTAGGTAAATTTATGTTTTGGCTACACTGATTTTTAGTTTGTGTGTTCTGTAATACGTGAACACCGATAATCTGCACTTTGTTATTAGTTATAAGTGAGTGAGACGCACAATTTCTAATTTCAAATTAAGAACAAAACTTTGACAAACCTATTTGATTTTCCTAGATCTGTTCAGACAGGACCGGTTTTATAAAATTTCTCGTTCTTGAAATGTTATTTTTACATGGTTATATATTATTGGATAAGTGGTTTGTGTACATATTGCTATGAGAATTATAGAGAAATTCAGTGAGATTTATGTAATATAATTCAAATTACAAGTAAACCATCTGTTCCTGTTTGGCAATATGGAGAAAATACCTACTTCAATGTCAAATGTACTATTTAAAAGAATGTGATTGTTAACCGGTCATTTATTTATATTATATTATGAAAATAAAAAACTCGAATTTTTTAACTAGGGTAACAAGGTAACAAGGTATTTTTAGAAAAACTAATAGATTACTCCTATTCCTATAGTTTATTTGAAAATGAATAATAGCAAAATTATATAAAAATATGGACCTTTGCCATAAAAACTGTGCTACCAAGCATTTTCAAATAAACTATGATAATTTGATTTAATAGAGCGAGTATAAGATCTCACCTGTTAGAGAAATTGGGGCATAGGGAAGAGATTATGAAGCAGGTAGGCAAAGTCATTGCAAAAGATAAATATATAGAAGTTATTTTAAAAATTTGATAAAAAACTAGTGGAACAACAAATGGAGTTGTCGCTATCGGAGATCCAATCAGCAGAAAGTAAAAAAAAAACTTTGGGAATGTTGGAAAAGGGCCCAGCAATAGGCCCAAAACAATTCCTTGGTTTTTTAATAAATATAATCTGAGATGCAAAAAATACTGCTAGAGTGGAGAAGTAGTATTGTTCTAATGTAGAAAATCCAGGGACATACAGCAGTGCACTAACCATAGGCGAATAGTCACTAAATTATACAAGAGTCCCATCTCGATTTTATTTTTAAATATTTTTGAGAATACCTATTATTATTTGTTACATTGAGTTTAATAAAACCACAGATTTCGAATGTATTGAAAGTTATATAAAAAGTACCTCTATAAATATATAGAAAATGTGTATATGACTAACTGGTTTTATTAATCTTTTTTTGGGGTAGGTAAATATATTTTGAAAAATTTACAAACTTCTTTTGAATAAAAGACAAAATATTTCTGTTTTTATTAACTGAACAATATTTTATACGAACATAATATATACCTATTTAAAAGAAAATATTACATTTTACAAGTATCGCATATTTATATGAAATAACTTACTCAATAAGAAAGAATTAAATGAAACAAATTAATAAACAATGGATATGAAAAATTGCTTTAACAATTTAATCCTTAGATAAACTTATTCTTACATATTGCTTTAATCAATTTATTTACTATAAAAGTATATTTCCTATCATTTATTACATATAATAAAATAAAGCATAAAACATACAAACTATAATATGTACCTACTTAGAACGGAACTAATATTATTGTATCAAGGTAGTAATAGTGGACATTTTCCGAATAAAAAAAAGTAAAAAAGAAGTAACGGTCGACACGTTTTTCTGACTATTGGTCTTCATCAGTACGGTGCAGCCAAGTTCAAAGGATCATGGAATTTGTGTTGGAAAAATTGTACAATAGGTCACTAACAAGGAGCCAATAACACATTTGCCGTTTCAGCTAGTATCCCCATATTTTCTGGGCTTATACTAAAGTCACAAAATGATTCAATGGTCTTCCTATGGCTATCAGTTATTGTTTCCTAACATTTTTTGGTATGCTACAACAAAACATACAAATTATTTGATTTTGTAAATACACAAATATTTGTGAAAACTTACACATGAAATGTTATTCCTTCCTTGTATCTTCTACCGTTAGATGCATTGTTACATTCACGTACAAAACAAAAAGAGATTTTGAAAATCCTGTAAAAATTTAACACCAAACCACAAATGTTTTTTATTAAAATAAAACACTAAACGACTAAACTAAAAAATAATGTTTTAAATAAAACCTTTACTGGAAGAACAAAATAAACAACACAACAGATAACAAAATCGATTATATACGTCGAACGCCGATCTTACGCTTATTACTAAACTTGCGCCGATTCTGTCTTGTCAGTAGTGCCAACTTAAAATTTATTGACATTTATTTATCATGGCGCCCATCATATGGGGGGTCAAAATGTTTTTACGATGCGGTATCTAGACCTTTTGAGGGCTATGTTGTGGGCTTGATAAAGTTTGACACATTGACAGAACTAGTAAATGTGAATGGTCTAAGTGACAACTTCAAATTACATTATTAACATCTGTCAAAGTTTATCAGGCTCATAAGTTTTCATGATCATGCTTTCAACCGGCTTAAAGTGATTTATATAATTAATTATATAAATAAATAGAATTTAAACTAATGCAAAAAAAATGTTTGATCAATTTATATTTGTATTTTTAATAAAAACGATAATAAAGTAATCGTTCTAGCAAAGGCGTTTTAATACTAGTTCCGAAGGTAAATGTATACAACAAAACACAAAAGAAAATGTGTTATAATGAACCACCTACATACACCTTCTGGAACAAATTCATAAAAAACCCATGTTGTTACACTGGCTATCAGAAGCCGAGTTATAAGTTGCACAGGTAAAAAAAATTATCCGTTTGGGTAAAAACTACAAATGAATTGAAAGAAAAAGTACTAGGTAATAAGTTTTTTTTTATTTCAAAATGTCTTGTATAAGAAGTTATATAGAAAAAATAAGTATTAAATATCATCCAGAAAAACAAAAACATGTTTAAATGAATAATAATATATTAAATAAAATATGACCATTCTTTAAGAGAGATATATTTATTTGTATTATGAAAATAATGTTTATATCAACCATCTTGTGCTCGGCATTTTTAACAATTTGTAAAGATAACTCTTGTGTGATCATAATATTAATATTTAAAGATTTTAAATAAGGACTTGAAGATATCACAGTTCGTAAGTCCCCTTTTATTAACCATAATACTTTTTTTGGAATGAATGCATTAATTGCTGTTGTCCAGTAGGGCAAGTGAGACACTTTGCGGTTCAAGGAGATATAACTTTTTTACTTTTAGAAATAAAACAGCGTTTATTGTATAAGAACAACTTTAACTGTTTATTTAATAACTTCACCTCAAAAATGAATAAAATAGAAAATATTTGATAAAATGTCAGACTTAAAAAAAAGTCAAATAACTTACTTACCCCAAGCTATGGGGCAAGTGAGTCCTTAGAGTAATAATTATCGGCAGTTGTCACAAACATAATTATTAGCACCTATGTCATTATCAAAACACTCCTCGTGTACCCAGGTACCACATTTTATGCATATGATCCATTCTTCATGACAAGTCTCTCCATATGTATCGATACAATAAACGCATATTGTGTTTTTCTCTTCCTCTGATATTGTTGCTGATTCTGCTAATGCATATTTTTATTTTTCCTCCATGTTTCCTTTTTTTTTATTTTTTTATCCATTTATACATGGGCCTGCTTTCTCAAAATTCTTTTTTACCGATTTTGCTTCTATTGTTTTTAATTTATCTTCGAGTTGATTTTTGTAAGGTGAACTAGTGATTATTATAGATCCTTCTGTTTTTCTGAATTTTGTTTTGTAGTTTCTTTTCTCCGTAGATGGTTTTGGAATTAGACTTAAACTTGAAAAAGAAACATAACTGCATGACAGTTGTTCTAATGGCTCCAAAGTAACTGGTGGTACTTTGGGATATCGCTAGATGTCATCGAATTCTGGATTAGGTCCATCTAACAAGTTTTCTGAATTGGCTGAGAAATTGACCCTTTCTGGGTTTGTCACTTTTTGAAGAATGTTCTCACAACTGACCAAAAGATTGATGTTTTTTGGATTGGTTTCGTTTTGGAGATAGTTCTGGGAATTAAAGGATGGACTGGCCACCTCAAAGTCGCTTGCTTGGAACACATCCGGATTATACGGGTAAATTTCCGTTTTTATCAAAAGCGTTAATAAAATTTGTTGGTGTAAAGGGCATTTTTAATAATCGGAGTTATGTCATATTTAGTGATTCTACGATGGTTTGTGAGCTAATGATTCATTTTTTGCCAAGTAGGTTTACGGTAGGTTTGCGGCTGTAGCCTATTCAAAATGTGAGATGGTAGGGTCCAAAAAGTTACTCCAAAATTTCTCGCCAGGCTTATTGACTCAATAGACTTTTCAAGGCTAATGATTTCATTAGGATATTGTTTACTTAGAAAATCTATTACAGTTGCCGGGTTTCAGATCACCTCATATTTTGGAGCTGGAGGTCGCAAATTGCGGACCCCTCTTAAAAATCTTTTAATGGTGTAATCATTTCCAACACTGGGATACATTAAGGCTAGAGCTGATCTTGCACAATTTAGGGTAGCATATGAAGCGACTTTCTGATACAGCAAGTCTAGGAATGCTACTACATTTATCATTGGACTACCAAAGACGTCAAAACCATGCTGAGAACAGAACAGCCACCAGGATTTTAATCCGCTATTATATTGTTTCATTGTAGCCGGTGAAATCGATGACAACATGATGCTTGCTGCTGAATCAGGTAAGCCCTTTAACTTCAGACTGTAGCTGATAATATTCCTGCTGCTAGGGAAATTTTTCTCCATAGGGGATGTGGGTTCCTGTTTAGGCATAAAAGATTTATATTAGGATCAAGGTGAACAATTTCAGAAACTAAAAGTTTCTGGTATAAGGGAAACCAAGGCTGATTCGGCCACCATGGGACAACCACAATGCCTTTTGCCTTGTCTT